TCCCCACCCTCTCCAGCATTTATTATTTCCAGATTATGGAGGTTCCTTAAAAAACTACAAATAGAACTACCATATGACTCAGCAATCCCACTACTGGGCATATACCCTGAGAAAACCGTAATTCAAAAAGAGTCATGTACCAAAATGTTCATTGCAGCTCTATTTACAATAGCCCGGAGATGGAAACAACCTAAGTGTCCATCATCGGATGAATGGATAAAGAAGATGTGACACATATATACAATGGAATATTACTCAGCCATAAAAAGAAATGAAATTGATCTATTTGTAATGAGGTGGATGGACCTAGAGTCTGTCATACAGAGTGAAGTAAGTCAGAAAGAGAAAGACAAATACCGTATGCTAACACGTATATATGGAATTTAAGAAAAAAAATGTCATGAAGAACCTAGACGTAAGACAGGAATAAAGACACAGACCTACTAGAGAATGGACTTGAGGATATGGAGAGGGGGAAGGGTAAGCTGTGACAAAGTGAGAGAGTGACATGGACATATATACACTACCAAACGCAAAATAGATAGCTAGTGGGAAGCAGCCACATAGCACAGGGAGATCAGCTCGGGTGCTTTGTGACCACCCTAGAGGGGTGGGATAGGGAGGGTGGGAGGGAGGGAAACGCAAGAGGGAAGAGATATGGGAACATATGTATATGTGTTATTGATTCACTTTGTTATAAAGCAGAAACTAACACACCATTGTAAAGCAATTATACTCCAATAAAGATGTAAAAGAAAAAAAAGATGTAAAAAAAAAAAAAGAAAATTCTCCCTACCAGTGAGAAAAGGCTGAAGTGTGAGTGATTCTCAAGGGGATTTGCATTTTGAGAAATGACCCCAGTGAGAAGCAGTACTTAACCTTGTAGCCTGCAAGCTCCACAGGCACAGGGGCTGTGTATTCATCTCAGGGTCCCCAGTGCCTGGCACAGTGCTTGTTATCTAAAAGGTGTACAGCAAACAGGTAGACTAAATTTTTTAAAATAATAAAAGTAAAACAGTAAAAGTAACGTGTGCTCATCATTAAGAGTCAGAACATAATTGTTTGAGGTTAGAAAATCAGAAGCCCTCACTGCCACTCACTCTGATTTCTCCAAGTTCCTTTTTTTTTCTGTTTGTTTGATCTATCTTTCATGTAGGGACTCTTTCCTCAAATGTCTGGTGATCCTTCATTTCTTCCATATGCAATAGTGAGTCATCACTACTGGAAGCTCCAGGGGCTTGGTGGCTTTTTATCTAAGGGCTCCCACTTTGGGGTGATGGGATAGGGGCATGGCTATTCCATTCAAGATGTCATTTGAGTTTTGGTAGTCTGAGTTTTGGTAACTTTTCTCTTAGGCTGGTTTGTTTTCCTGAGAGGAGTTAATGCTCTGCTTGGGGCTCTAGTGGAGGGAAGGGCTGGTTGGTCTGAGCATCCCAGAGACTTTCAGAGACCTTCATTTAATTCCCCTGTCATCAGTCTCAGTCTTCAGTCTGGTATCCCCCTTACCCCATTCCCCTCCACTCTCTGCTGGGCAACGTGTTCCCAAATGTACAGTCACTCTGGTTCATCTTGTATTTTATGGGGATGGAGAAGAAGATCTGGGGGTCTAAACAGTTCACTCATACCTACTGTTGTCAGCTTCACTCCACTTCACAATTTTGTGCTAACTCCTGTGCCTTTCCAGGGTACCTTGGCATGAATCCCCTGCTTCCTGTGCATTCCCCACCTGGTGGCTGAGGTTTCAGCTTTTTCAGGTCTGCTGAGTGAGTTCCACTTGTTCATTCTGTTTCATCTTCCAAACAGCTGTTGATATCTCTCATCTATTTTGGTCCCCTCTTCCATTTACTTCATCCTAGTTGATTTATACCATTTTAATCCTTTAACTGCTATTTTGAGGGGGTTTCAGAAGAGAGTGGAGATAAACACCTGTGTTCAATCTGCCATGTGCAATGGGTACACTGTGCTTTTTCCTTTTAACAATATATTGAGAAAGTGTTTATTTCTTTGTAATTGGGTATAGAATTCCAGGCTCCAATAGGCAACACATAAATCTATTTTAAGTTTATGTTGCTTAATGCTGCGAAGTATACAATGAACATTATTTTACACTAATAATTATGTGTAGAAATAAAGGAGAGAAGAATAGAAGGAGAGAGAGAAAGAGAGTGAGAAAGAGAGAAGGAAGGAGGAAGAGGAAAGGGGTCTACATGGAATGTCAGGCTCTGAAGGAGGGAGTGGGGGAGAAGCTCAGGGAAATGAATGGGCTGTAGTTCTAGCCTTGGCCCATATGCTACCTAGATCCAATCCTCGCCTCTCATTTCTGGTACCCACTGAATGCCAACTGCCTCATACTCAAACGTGTTGTTATTTGTGAGAAAAGCAGCTTCCACTGGGATGTGGTCTACCAGGATCATGAAACAAGCTGACGTTTGGACAGGCAAGGCCACAACCTGCATGGCCAGAGAGGGCTCAGTGTGCCCTTTCTTGCCAGAGGGTGGGGGGAGGGCTCCCAGATGTGCGTTTCAGCATGACTGAAGGCCACAGTGGCCAGCATCCACGAGGTCCACCCCTGCCTGGGGCTCAGGCCCATCAGAAGATGCCCAGATAGAAAAGGGAAGAACCTGGGAACCTTCACTCCAGCTCTGGTTCCTCTTTTATCCAGCTTTGGGCAAGTTTGCAAGAAACAGAAGCTTTGGCTTCTGGTTCTTCAACTGCAATATGGGAGAATAGCTTCTGCTAATAGTTAAGAGGTTTTATGGGGAGGTTGGCACTTCTCACATCAACCAGATACTTTCTGAGCACTTGACATTGAATGGTGAGAGGACTGAGGAAACAGCATTCAATAATAAACTCAATATTTTCAGGTATTTGTTGAGGACTATTCTTTGTGCTGGCCACTGGGGTTGTCAGTGCACAGTAGTGGACAAACAGACATGGTTCCCACTCTTGGGGCTTCCAGTCTAGTGAGAAAGACACACATTCAATTCATAAACTCACAAAATAAGTATATAATTTCAAATTAGGATAAGGGCTAGGAAGGAAAAGAGCATTCTGCTTCAGGAGAGAGTAGCAGGAATGAGGTAGTCAGGGGGAAAGAAAAGAAACAGCTACATAAACCAAGGTAGAGATACTAATGGCGGAGCTACTGGGCACAGTGGAGACCCCAGATGATTGGGGGCAGGTCAGCACTTAGAGTGACTCAGAATCCTGGGCACCACAATGCAGGGTCCTTTTGGTGACACGAAGCCGAGTCAGGAAAGCTCAAAGCTGACAGGTCAGCTATATGTACGGGAGAATGGGGCAAGATAAGGAGGCCACCTGTCTCTCTGGAGAAGCCTCTCAAAGTCTCCTGGCTTTCACTTTCCACCTTCTCCCTTCCCCTTCTGCCCACGTTCCAAGACCTGAGGCAGCTCTATAGACCTCAGGTGATTCTGAACAGGCTCCTTGGCAGGATCCCTAAGTGAAAGAGAAGGCAAGGACACAGGGACCGTCCATCTGGGCACAGAGCTCTGACCGCCTCAGAGACCTCACAGAGGTTACCAGAGCCCTGATCTCTGACACCAACAGAGACTGGGCAGAAGTGTCAGGGCCGGGCAGCCCCAGGAATAAGAGCAGGCAGGGCATTAATAACCATCCTCTGAGGACTTCTCCTTACAGATGAAGAAACTGGAGTTCAAAGAAATCAAGGAATGTGCTCGAGGTTACACAGTAAATGACAGAGCTGGGATTCAAACCCAGGCAACTTGACTCCAGAGTCTGCTGCCACTGGACGTTCCCACTCAGCCATTCAGGCCACTCACATTAAGGCCTAGGACCAAAGAGCAGGTCCCCTAGAAGCTCAGAGTTTTGCCAGGACCTTGGAGTTCATGTACGCACTGGCCATTGTCTGCAGACAGAATAAGTAACATGTCCCAGTAGGTCCTGCAGTGGCTGAATGCTGCCCCCTCCCCCAATATCTCCACCCAGCACCTCAGGATGTGACCTTACTTGAATAAGGGTCTAAGGTGGGAGATGTAACTAAGGTGGGAATCTCAAGATGAGATCACCCTGGGTGGTCCCTAAATCCAATGACAAGGGTCTTTATATGAGGCAGAAAAGAAGACGTGCAAAGACACAGAGGAAAAAGCCTTGTGAGAATGGAGACAGACATCGAAGTGATGCTGCCACAAACCAAGGAACACCAGAAGCCATCAGAAGATGGACGAGGCAAGGAGACATTCTTCCCTAGAGATTCTGGAGGAAGCATGGCCCTGCCAATACCTCGATATCAGACTTCCGACCTCCTGAACTGTGAGGTAATAAATCCTGCTGCTTTAAGCCGCCTAGTTTGAGGTTATTTGTTACAGCAGCCACAGGGCACTGATAGATGTCCCTCTGATTCTTCATAAGAAACACAGGCATTTAAAAATATTACTAAGCTCACAGTTGCTATTTATCGTTATGTATTTTTCTCAATGGATCTAAAATATTACTATCACATGGATAGTAATAAAAATATTACTATTGTAAAATATAGATTATACGTGCAACACTATCATCTTACAGAGAGATTACCTAAATTCCAGAGAGGGCCCTGGTAAAGCAAGCAGGCAGGCTGGTCTGGAAGCCTGCTCCCCTCATTCATGAGGTGTTTCTCTTCCTCCAAAGCCTGGGGCTACTGGTGGTCCTCACCAGCCCACACAGAGAAAATCAGAATCAAGCTTGCCCAGCAGAACGTTTAGAAACACTTCCCTCTTCCCTCCCTTTGCCTCCTGGCTTGGCAATGATGACAGCCCAGGTTACACCCTGTGATTGTTCCAGAAAACCAAGCATTGCTAAAGGGCATTATGTCAGGTGTCCCCAGTCCGTGCTACTTGGCACCCTAGACCTCCATACCACATCCCCTGCCCCTGTCTGACTTCAACACCCCTGGCTGTGGTGGGACAGGGTGGCCTGATAAAAGGAGGGCAGGACCTGGATAGCTGGTTGCATGGGCTGGAGTCTGTAACTGAGCCAGCACCATGGTGTGGTCTGTAGCCTGGGCAGGTGAGTGGGTGCTGTCAGGGAGCATGGGCTGCGCCTTGGGAGCTGTGGGGAAGTGGGGAGGTGTATGTGAAATGGCTCCTCGGTGCTGTGTGTAAGGAAGCAGAAGCTTTCAGGAGAACTTTGGAGGGTCATTCCATTTCTCCCTCTGCTGCCAGGCTTGCAGTCCCTGTGGGCTCCCCCCTGAGGTCTTTCAGCCCAAGAGGCTTTGTGTTGCAAGGAAAAGCTTTTCTCAACAGGCTGAAAATGACTTTTCCTCCTGTTTTGGAAGCCCAGAGTCAGTGAACCCCTCGGCATTGGGTGGTTTTGTCTTTCCTGTGTTCTGAGGCCCCCTACTCTCCAGGGGTGCCCACTGCCAAGGAATTCTTCCCCACCCTGATGCTGGTTGCCCTGCAAAAGGCAGCCTGGGAGCCATGACCCTGGGTGCCCTTACAAATTTTCATGCAGGTTTTATTAGGTTAATGGGAAGATCCAAGTTCTCCAGAGAGATGAAATAAATACTTTTAAAGGAGTCCCACTGAGCCCTATGTCTCCAAGGATATTGGTAACTCAGCCAACCTCTTGTGCAGTGTGGCAGGAAAGCAGCAAAAAATAGTCAATTGTGGCTGTGAGCAGAGGTACAGAGACCTCACCTAGAGATGAGCTCTCTGGCCTAGCCCTTCCAAATTGGCTCTTTTCATCCTGAGGACAGGTTTTCTACTTATTTCAAAAGAGAAACCTTCTCTCTAAAAAGCTTAAAAGTCGGGCTTCCCTGGTGGCGCAGTGGTTGAGAGTCCGCCTGCTGATGCAGGGGACACGGGTTTGTGCCCTGGTCTGGGAAGATCCCACATGACATGGAGCGGCTGTGCCCGTGAGCCATGGCTGCTGAGCCTGTGCGTCCGGAGCCTGGGCTCCGCAACGGGAGAAGCCACAACAGTGATAGGCCAGTGTACCGCAAAAAAAAAAAAAAAAAAAAAAAAAAAAGCTTAAAAGTCAGTGGTTTTCCTAGAATCTTCCTAAATCCACACTGCCCTCTACTAATGTTCTAGAGAGGGAGCAGTCTCAGCTCATGGAGACTTCCATCAGCTCTGGGACTAGCCCAGGCCAGGTAGGGCCCCCTGCTGTCTGGCCTGGGTGAAGGGATGGACACAGTGCCCTCCTGGGTCCCTTGTGGGCAGAGGAAGCTGGATTTGTAGGAAACTGTCCTGAGCCCACCCCCATCCCGGACCACTTCTCGCTCCTGCGCTTCAATAACCATAGAGGGCCTGGGAAAGTAAGAATGACATCTTAATCTCTGCCTTCTCTTTTGTGCTGTTCAGGTTTGATGGTTCTGCTGGCGATCCAGCGGGGTAAGTGGCGCCTTTCTTGAAGCTAGCCCTGGGTTCCCTCAGCCCCATTCCCTGGGCCCTGCTACCCTCTCCCATTCACTCCCCCAACACTTACGTCCACCCCAAGAGCTCTTGCCAGATTTCAGTGGGTTCTCGCCTCCAACGCTCCGGCCCCTGCAAGTGTCCTTGTCCCCATAATGGCCTTGCCATTCCTTCTTCTGGGAAGGTTCTAGCCTCCTAACCCACTAGCCGAACTCCTGTGTGTCCATGGGGGCAGCTTAAATGTCAGCCTCTCTCTGGTGTTTCCTGAGGCCACTTGCTCCAACCTCTGTGCTCTCATCGCACTGGAACCCATTTTACAGTATATATCACAGTGTTTCTAATTACTGGCTTAGGCGTCTCCCCTACCACCAGTAGGGGAGCTCTGAGCTACTGGAAGTAAGGAACCTAAGTCTTCTCCAGCTCCATGTCCTAGCCCCTTGGCTCAGGCAAGGACAGCACACTCTTTCCGTGTCTGTTGAACTGATTGCATGTGGAGCTTGGGAGAGCCAGGAGGGCTCCCTCTTGTGCAGGGGGGAACTCTCTGGGTGATGTTTAGCCACTTGGACTCCTGGGTTCCCTTCCTATCCCACACCACTCCCTGTACTCAGACCCTCATCCTGAGCCTGGGCTGTGGCACAGGACACACATTTCCCCTGTTCATCTCACAGGAGGGGACAGCCAGGTCCAGAGAAATAGCAAACATGGGGAAGAGAGAAAAGTTGAAGATTTCCTCAAAAGCTTTAATCCAAGCTACTTCTGGGCATATGGTGTGCTATCGTATGGGATGGTATATATTTATAATAATAGAATTTTGTGTGGGCTAAGGGTTAATGTATGCAAAGCACTTAGAACAGAGCTTACTTTCTGCCAGCACTGTTCTGAGTGTTTCACATACATTAACTCTTCATTCACACAGTAGTCCTTAAGATAGGAGCAATCATCATTCCCATTTTATGAAGGAGAAAGCTGAATTATCTGGCTAAAAAGTTGCAGAGTGGGGATTTCAACCCAGGCATGAAATTCCAAAGTCCCTGCTGTTAACCACCAGACTTTGTTGCCTCTATAGTACAAATATTCATGCACAATATTCAATATGCTATGGCAGGATATGATACAAAATAAAAAGAGCCTCCTGGCTCCTTTCTAGATGGACCCAAGGGATGTGTTTGCTGGGTTAATCCCCTGCTTCCTTCTTTTGCTTTGGGGAGTTCACCAATCCTCCTTCTATGTCACTCAGGCAACGCCCCAGTCCCATCGGCAAACTTCACTCCCGGGTGACCTCTAGTTAGGGCCAGTGACTACTAGGAGCTTTGACTCCTCCTTCTGAGAGCCATCCATGGGCGCAGGGGTGTCTCAGCCAGCCCTTCATGCTCTGGGTTCCTACACACCCTCCTATAGCCACTTTGCACTGCTCTCCCTCCTCGTCCTCTCACTGGCCACATGGGGGCTGCAGGAGGGTGCAGAGAGACCCTGTCTGTGCAAAAGGAAATCCTAGGGTCTAGACCGTGACCACAGACATACTCCAGTCTAAACTCATCATTCTGCCAAGTCCCTGGCATAAAATGCTGGCGTGTACAAACCACATGATCATAGTCTGCAAGGCTGGAAGAGCTCTCAGAGACCACACTGTCATTTTCAGATGGGGACCCCTAAGCCAAGGCTAAAGAGATCGGCCCAAAGTACACTTCTGGCAGCTGCAGGGATGAAGACGAGCATCTTTGCGTTCTGGTCAACTTTGCACAGTGCTGCCCTTGGTGGGAGCCATCACTGCTAGACAAGCCCCCATCTGGGAGGAGAGGCCCTACACACAAAGCCATTCTACAGGGTATGGGGATGACAGAAACAAGCTGCCTTTTCCTAGAGAAAATATTCTCTTTGTTAGAACCTTGTCAGTGATATTAAACCAATTCTCTACAAGGGATAATAGTACGTAAATGCAAACCTCTTTAAAGCAAGACTAAAGAAACATAAACCCAGGCCTGTAACTGGGGTCTCCTCTCTGCCACTTTATATATTTGTATTTTAATTAACATTCTGAAGTATTCCAAGCCGTGATTTGAAAGTTCTGCCTCCCTGCCTCCAGCAGATGAAGGGCCATGTTTAACGTCTGCTGGCATGACATAAGTTCTGCCTCTGGGCAGAGGGTGCCAGTCCATAGCAGGCCCTTCTGATTGCCATTTCTTTGCTTTGCCCCAACTGGCCAGGCTCTGCGGCAAAACTGGTCTGCTACTTCACTAACTGGGCCCAGTACAGACAGGGGGCTGCTCGCTTCTTGCCCAAGGATGTGGACCCCAAGCTGTGCACCCACCTCATATATGCCTTTGCTGGCATGAACAGTCACCAGCTCAGCTCCGTAGCGTGGAATGCTGAGACACTCTGCAAGAAATTCAACAGCTTGAAGAAGATGTGAGCTGCAGTGGAGGAGGTGGGGATGGGAGGTGGAGAAGACAGGCGCCTCCTCTCAAAGCCAGAAACCTTCTCCATTACTGCAGTTTGGCTGCAGACCTGCTGTGTGGCTTTGGGCAAGTCTCATCACTTCTCTGGGCTTTCCCGTGCTTATGTGGAAGAGGTGGGGGTAGATAGTGACTCCTTAAGTGCCCTTCCAGTTTAGGTCTAAGTGGAATCTGGACTGTGAAACTGTTTCCCTCCACTGGGAATGAGTGCCCTTCTATCTCCTAAAATCTATCTATCCTTCAGCTCAAGTGTTATCACTACCTTAATACAGCCTCTCTGAAGATCTGTCCTGATCTCTTGCTTTCTAAATTCCTTGAGTGTACGGCTCCCCAGCCAGATAAGAGGTCCTCAGAGTCAGGAATGTGTCTTTTCTTTCCCAATCTAGAGCTTCCCTGGTACAGAATATGACCATAGGGATTTATATATCCCCTACCTCACCCCACCAGCCCTGCCAGGCTCCTTGCTTCCTTGTTAGTGAGGTGAGCCCCAGGACCTGGCTGGATAAATTCCGGTGCTTCTCTTGTCTTTTCCAGGAACCCCAAGCTGAAGACGCTGCTGGCCACTGGGGGCTGGAACTTCGGCACTCAGAAGTGAGTTGTCTGTGGGCACCAATGTGGCAGGGCCCCTAGTGTGGAACTGGCTCACTGGCCAGAGAGATCCCCAGTCGGGGAATCAGCCAGGTAGAGGTGTAGCCAGGGTGAGGGAGAGTGGGAGAGAAGAGTGGACTCTGGGGGCTGCCCTACCTTCTGACTTCTTGGTACCTCCTCAGGAGGCAGTGAAGTGGGCTTAGCTCCAGGCCGTTATACATCCAGTCTTTTTTTTTTTTTTTTTTTTTTTTTGCGGTACGCGGGCCTCTCACTGTTGTGGCCTCTCCCGTTGTGGAGCACAGGCTCCGGATGCGCAGGCTCAGCGGCCATGGCCCATGGGCCCAGCCACTCCGCGGCATGTGGGATCCTCCCGGACCGGGGCACGAACCCGTGTCCCCTGCATTGGCAGGCGGACTCCCAACCACTGCGCCACCAGGGAAGCCCATCCAGTCTTGCTTTATATGCAGCACAGAGTCTGACCTCTTTCCAGGCCTCAGTCTCTTCCTCCATGAAATGTGTAAAGGGAGGGTCTCAACTAATCCCAGACAACATATAATGTCTATATTTTCTGAGCTCTGGAACAGTATGTCTGAGAATTTTTGTTCCCTTTCTGGGTGTCAAAAGCAGTCTGTGAGATTGAGCTTGGATGCCAGAATATTGACATTTCCAGGACATTTTTGATGATTTATGGAGATAATGGAATGGTATATTTGGAACCATACTTTTCCTAGAAAGTGCTAACTGTAAGGTCCCCAAAATTCTAAACCAGTCTTTCTAATACTTTTTTGGATCATGAGTCCTTTTGAGAACCTGATGAAATTTATGACTCCCCTTCCCCAAACACTGCTTATACACAGATTTTTCACTGAAATTCAGGATTCTCAGCCTGGGGTTCCCAGGCACACAAACCTCACTTAAGAACTGATGCTATTAGCTAATTTAAAAAAATAAATTAAAATAGAAACGGTCTATAAAACTCAAGACCCCCAAGAAGTCCAGGGACTTGTTGAGAAAGTAAGATGTGGGGAGGTTGTTCTTGGGGCACCTCAGGAATTGTAAAGAACTCTGGACTAGTAATGGTAATACCAAGAGCACGAAGCACTCTACAAACGTGAGTTAGAAGAATAGTAACCATGTTAACCTGCCAGGGAAGTAGAAGAGCAGCCCCCCAGGGTTACCCAGATCCTCACTGGCCTGCTGGGCTTCTCTTCCTCCTCATCTTAGAAACTGATTCCTCTTCTTTTTTCAATCTCCATGCTGGGTTGACAGCCAGCTCTGATTCAGGTTAGAGCAAATCCCTGGGCAGGGATGTGGCAGTAAGCTTCTGGAGGGAATTTTGGGAAGCAGAGCTCCTAGTGAGTCAGTGTGCCCCTGGTGATGTCAATGTTTTGGGGCACTTCTACATTGTCCCTTTCCCTTAGCCAGGCCCATAACCCACCTGCAAATATCCCGGCAGCCTCTGAAGCAGCCCTTCCGGTGCCCTTCTGGCCTAGACAGTTGAGCACCAATATCTTGAGTAGTTTCTCACTTGCCTCTGAGGGAGCATGACCCACTGTCCTGTGTAAGACAGGCCCACACTGCCCTTTATCAACCCACAGGTTCGTGGATATGGTGGCTATAGCCAATAACCGACAGACCTTTGTCAACTCAGCCATCAGGTTTCTGTGCTAATATGGCGTTGATGGTCTCGACCTTGACTGGGGGTACACAGGAAGCCGGGGGAGCCCTCCATCAGATAAGCAGTGCTTCAAAGCTCTGGTGCAGGTACAGCTGGGTGAGATAGGGAAGACCTAGTTGGCCAGGGGGCCACATAGGTGCTGCTCTGCCCCCAGGCTCAGCTGCTTCATGTGTCTGCATAGCACAGACCAGCCCTGTGGTCAGTTTTCAGGCTCCTGTGCGGGAACATCTGCTTGGGGCTCACAGGGCTACCTGTTCCCTGCCTGTGTGTTCACTCTGAGCTGCCCCTGCAGGCCCTGGCCAATGCCTTTCAGCAGGAAGCCCAGGCCTCAGGGAAGGCACACCTCCTGCCGAGCACAGCTGTCCCAGCAGGACAACACTGCACAAAAGCTGGATGCAAGGGGGACAACGTTGCTCTGTGAGTCTCAAGCAGATGGCATGGACCCTGTGTTCTCTGCGGGGGAAAGAGACCAAGGGTAGTCTGAGCTTCCCCCAGAATGGAGCAGGGGCTCGCCTGCACCACCAACAGACCCAGGGAGGGTTTCCTTACCACATCTGCTGCTCCATCACTCCGGAGTCCCTCTCTTTGGAGCCTGGCCCTCAGTCTTAAAGTGAAATATCCCTGGGGGAGGAAAGAGGGAAGCACTTAGCATCTCCAAGAGGATGAGTTCCCACGCCAGGCCTACTGAATAAGAGCCTGCACCTGAATGAGATTCCCAGGTGATTTATGTGCACAACTAAAGTTTGAGAAATGCTAAGCTAGATTTCCCTTCAAAATAGCAAAATAGCAAGAGGTGTCCTTGAGTGGACTGTGTCCTGAGGGTGCTGGGGGGACAGCTGGGAGGAGGATGCTGAAGACGTGAGCCGCCAAGAATGAGAATGGCCTGGATGACGGTGTGCGGGGGGGGGGGGGGGGGGGCGGGCGGGGCGACCGGAGGGGCTGCCTATGCTGCTGCGTCTCCCAGAGCCAGAAGGGAGCCCGCCCCCACCATGCAGGTCTCTCCCCAGGCCACACACTGCGTGAGAGGGGAGGGAGGAGCAAGGAAGGGGGAGGGCTCCACCCTGCGCACTAGCCCCTCACTCTTTCTTCCCACGCCTCATGCAGGAACCTGGAGTTCCTCAGCTTCGTGGCCTATGACTTCCGTGGCTCTTGGGAGAAGAACACAGGGCATAACCGCTCCCCCGACGAGAGACAGGGAGAGAGCGGGGCCGTGGCCGAATTCAATGTGGTAAGTGGGAGGACGCCCCTGGCACAGGCCCTTGCCGGTGGCCCCTTTTGAGCGTCGAAGAACCAAATGGAAGGGAAAAGCAGGATACCAAGCAGGGCATGGAGAAGCCAGGATATTTTTGTTTCTTTTGTGTGTGTTTGTTTGTTTGTTTTATTTTCCTGTTCCATGCCGCTGCTGAGGAGAAACCTCACTTCTGTATAGCATGTCGACTGATATTAGACACAAATCTAGTTTGGGGACACATCAAACAAACCAGTGACTAACTGGGAGGCTGTCTTTGAACTCAAGTTTCCAGCCAAAATGGCTTCCGCTCCCTTCATACACCCTCAGCCCCATTTCCTTCAAGATAATGGGTAGCTTTTGCTCCTTGGCACTGAATGTCCTTCTGGAAGGTGTTTTCTGGAAAGAGGTGAGAGCTTTCCCAAGTTGATAACATCTCAGGGCAGAACCACCCCTACGCCACCCCAGTCCCGGGAAAGGGAAGGCTTGGTTGTAGACTGGAGTGGGTGGAGGTTTCCTGCCCAGCTCTTCCTCATTCAGTAGGCTAGACATTGTTTTACAAGCCCATTCTAATTTTAAAAGTCAAGATTGACCGTATCATTTCTCCTTCTTAACAAACAACAATAACAAAAAGCCCTAAATTAAAATGTTTGTTAATTTTGGGAGCCCACATCTTTGTGTGTCAGCTGGGTGGAACATCTAGGACTTCCATGGCTCTTTCACAAATAAAGTGCACTTCTTCAGGCACTTGAGCTGAGCATCTAGACCTCACATTGCACCTGGCTCCTCCACCCTCATCTGGGAAACTGTGTGGGTCCCAGGAGAAGCCAGCCCAGTCAAGTGGGGAGACATACAAAGACATTCAGCTGAGAGGTGAGGGGGTTGAACTCCCGCTGGCACGGTGCTCTCCAAGCTGTGTGCCCTGGATCCATGTGGGGGAAGGGAGGCCTTTATCCTCCTACAAAGAGGCCTTCTACTCTCCATACTATGTGCCCTGCATGTTGCTTCTGGCCAGAGGGGTGACTTTTCCAAATTTGCACAAAAATACCACAGAACTTAGCAGGGTGCTCTGCCCTCAGAAAGCTCCAGTCTGACCAAAGATAAATCATATGGACCAGCAAAACCAAATACATGTAAATCAATACAGTGAAAATACCTAAGTGCTAAGAGGTTGCAGGGTAACTAGAAAACCTGGACTCAAACAGGGTGGCTTCTTGGGGAAAGTGAGCCTACCGTCCTGGTTTGAGGGAAGAGTCTTCATTATTTGTTTAATCCACAGAGTTATGTTGGGTACCTCCTCATGTCACAGGCCTGGGGGTGTCATGTCAAGTAATACATGATGGGGGAAGGTCTTGTGCAGAGGTGAAGAAGCCCTGTGCTCATTTGTTCTTTCTATTTGCGCATCTTAGTGCCAAGCATTGTTCTAGGCACTGGGGATACAGAGATAAATAAAATTCCCTGCTCTTGTACTGAGGGTGAAACAACAGTGATGGTAATGATCACAATCATAGCTCCCCTTTATTGCACTATGTTAGACTTATACATGCATTATATCTTTTAATTCTCACAATGCCCTTAGTGACAAATATTTTTATCATTTCCATTTTATAGACAGGAAGCTCGAGGCTCGGCAAGATCAAATAAACTGCTGGGTAAGGCAGAGATCGTTGTTTACTGAGGTATCCCAAGCATCTAGGACAGTGCCTGGCACACAGCTGGCCTTCAGTAAATATTTACTGAGTCAATGACTGTTTGAATCCAGAGCCCATGCTCTTGGCTATAGGGCCATGCAGCTTCAATCACTGTGGTTCAGGGTCTAAGACGGGATCTAAAGAAGATGGGGAAGGGTTGGAACACTAGTAAATGCTCATGAAACTCCTCTGGAGCCCCCAGGCTTGGATGATCTGAACCAGTCTAAAGGCAAAGAAAATTAGCCCTGACATTCCTCCTTCACCACCAGGACTCTGCCATGCAATGGTGGCTGCAGAAAGGGACCCCTGCCAGCAAACTGATCCTTGGCATGCCCACCTATGGGTGATCCTTTACCCTGGCCTCTTTGTTGGACACCGGAGTGGGGGCCCAAGCCACGGGGCCTGGAACTCCTGGCCCCTTCACCAAAGACGGAGGACTCCTGGCTTACTGTGAAGTAGGAAAACCCACAGCCACCTGGAGTATTGTGCAGAGCAGGGGCTTCTTCTCCCATAATTTCTGAATGAGGATGCTAGGCACAGTGAATTCTGGTTGGGTAAATTCCATCCCATGCCTGTCATCTTGGATTTATCCCTAACCCCAGGTGCCTCATTGAATCGACAGTTCTAGGTCACTCAGTCTAGAGCTTCCTAGATTCTCCAAGCTTCTCAGACGTGAATATTTCAGTCTCTAGTCTCCTCATGACAGGGAGAAGATGCTTGCAGTGCCTCCCACCTCCTTCCCAGCTCTGCCCTCTGCTCCTACAGGTCTGCTCTTGGAAGGGGGCTGATGAGCACAGAATCAAGGACCAGAAGGTGCCCTATGCCTTTCAGAGCAACCAGTGGGTCGGTTTTGACGATGTGGAGAGCTTCAAAATCAAGGTGAGGCTTGGCCCTGCTGGGAAGGTGTGGTCCTGTGTGGGCCCAAGGCCTGTCAATAACATTCAATGACAGCATTCAGAACTTCTTCAAGGAGAAATATCCCAGCATTTCACAGATCTCCATGTGATAGCATTTGGTACCATTATCACCTATTGATTAAGAAAAGACACAATGGCAAAAAAATTGCTCTACATTGGAATCTCTCTTGAAAGTATTTGCATTTTATTAAACACAAATTCTACAGATATATAAGAGGAGAAATACACACAGTAAGGCATATCATTTTATTCAGTCCATTGACAATATTTGGTGCATGTTCAAATTATAGATCCTTTGATTTACTTATATGAAACCCCCTCCACTCCTGCCTCAAAACTTGAGTGCGTTTACCTGTTTCCATGTCTCTCTCTCCAGTGAGGTCATTGGCACCTGCAGAGGGACCTGCATTTGCTCATCTGCTTATCTTTTGTCAGTTATGCAGTGGCAGGTTCTTCTGGTGGTGTAGACAAAGTGCTCTGGAGAATTGAGGAGGCAGCTGGGGGAGATGAGAGAAGGCATCATGGTGGAAGGGATTTTGAGAAAGTCTTAAAGCAGAGAAGGTGGGCCTTCTGGGGAGGAAAGCGCAGGAGAAAGACTTGATGGAGAGGAAAGGGGAAGCTGGCCTCTGAGAGCAAGTTGTACCATAGCTGGAACCCTGAGTGGGGACTGGTGTAGAAAGGGAGGTAGCTGGGAGGGACATTGGGGCCATCAAGGGTTCCAACCACCCCTACCCTGTAACCCCAGCCTCACGCCAGAGGTGAGCCATGGCCCCCTGGCAGGGCTAGGGCCAGGGAAGCCCACTTGGAGGGGACACACAGCCATACCCTAAAGAAGCCTCAGGGAACTGGTGGAGGTGAGAAGGCCCTCAGCGTGGACAAAAAGACATGAAGACAGGGAATGGATTCAGATCTTTGGGGAAGTTTAGTCGTTCCCTATGGTAACTGAACTCATCACAATCAGCAGACAGTACCCCAAACACAACAGCTCAGCCCAGAAAATGCTGGGAAGTTAAGGCTGCCAACCTAAGGAAAGTCACACATCTATGTACTCCTCACACCTCCACCCTCATGTCCACCCCTGGCCATGTTTATGTCAGGGCAGGGAGATTCCAGAATGAATCATGCCCAGCAAGGATAAGGACTAATGGACCTGGGGGTGCTGGAGAAAGGAGGTCCCTGCCTGGATGAGGAAACCGGCTCTGGGGCTGCTGGCCGGGCTTCCCTGCTCTCCTCCACCCCCATCTCGCTCCTCACACAGGTCAGCTATCTGAAGCAGACGGGACTGGGTGGGGTCATGGTTTGGACACTGAACATGGACAACTTTGCTGGTTTCTTCTGCAACCAGGGCCGTTACCCCCTCATCAAGATGCTGCTGCTGGAGCTGAGTGAGTATGGGGTCAGGGCACCTCAGGAACTGGCTTCTTCTGAGGAAATGACTTTGCCCCACTACCGTGATTTCCCAAATTTCACCCCCAGGAGCTGAGGAAGCTGTAGAAATGATTCTCTTTTCACACTCTTCTTCCTCTTTCTGATTGTACCAATGCCTGCCCAGGGTGTCGGTAACCAGGGCTTCCCTCCAGAGGGCCCTCAGCCTCTCTTCTCAAGGCCTGCACTCAGCCTTCATTGTGAGAGCCCGCTGGCCCTCACCATTACTTGGTTGGGCTTTGCAGATGGTAGATAGCCATTGACTGCCTATGACACTTGTAGCTCCGGTGTTTTCTCTTGAGCTGTGCTCCAGCTGTAGGTGTGCTTGCGGTCTGGCTGTTCTCTGCCTTGGGTGTCTGACTATGCCCTGCCTGTAAGGTACGGGGTGTTGAGCTGCTGCTGCCTATGTTGCTGCCTGTGTGCTTGGCCTATGGGGTTGGGATCTTTTGGAGGAACCTTGGTTGAATCATCACTGTTTTCCCAGGTCGTCCATATATGTCTTCAGGCCCCCCAGAGCCTGAAGCTCCTGCACCAGGCCAGCTCTCTGAACCTGAGTATGGCTCCAGCCTCAGACAAGACATCTTCTGCCAGGGCAAAGGTGACGGGCTCTACCCCAACCCTCTGGACTGGTCCAGCTACTACAAGTTGTACAGGGGGGCGGTTGTTCCAGCAAAGCTGCCCGAGGAGCCTGGTGTTCAGCTCCTCTTGCAAATGCTGCACCTGGAGTTGAGTCTCCAAGGCCCCTTCGGCCCCAGCACCTGGGCGAGGACCCAGGACCACTCCATAGCCCACCTCCCCAGCTCTCCCTGGCAGTTGCAATCTAGCTTCTTGTGTCTTTCCATATCCAAGCTTTCTGTTCTCAGCCTTGGTTTCCTCTTGTTCTGCTCTTCCTGGGCTGCCTATTTTACTTGAAAAATAAATCTTTGGTTTGCACCCCACTGCCCCCAGATGTGGTGACTTACAGAGGCTCTCTAAGCACTCTGTTAGTTCAAACTCTACCCTGAGGAAGGTAGGGAGACAAGAGGGGAGGGTGACATAAGGCATGACTAGGTCAGAGCCAGGTGAGAAGGCGATCCATTCAGGGTGTCATGCTCTGCACCAGGTCTCACCTTGAAGACTCCACTTTCTAGTGGGCAGCTTCCAGGACACAGATGATCACATCTGGGGCATGGCCCTGGATCTGACACATTCTTCATTGGCTCAGAACCCCTTGGAGAGAGAACTATTCCTGGTGACCTCCATTCAGGTGTTATTCCCAAGATGCTCACTAGATGGCAGCAGAGAAGAGTTGTTCCCTGCCTTAAGGGCTCAGCGCACGGCCACTCTGCATTAAAACGAGAATCCAGACCCCCTGCTACTAAGCGCTCATTTGACAGATGAGGCAGGGATACTCATTACCCTCCTTTAACAGGTATTTAAACTGAAGACCTATTCTAACCCAGTTCTGAGACCAAAACCAAGGCCTAAATGGGCCAATATGGGCCAGAAGAGCATGCACATACAGTACCCTGGACAAATAGAGTAATCCAAATAGTCCTTGAAGCTTTGAGTTGATTCTTGGTCAATTTGAAGAAAATCTGCACATAATCTAATGGTCCAGCTTGCCATGCACTCACCCAAAGCTGGTGTTTTGGGTGGGACTCGGGCAGCTGGGTATGGGGACAAGTGGGGAGAGAGATGAGCTGGCCCTTCACATGAGTACAGGCAGCACCAGATCCCTCTAGCGGTGACTTCCCCTCTACACCCTGCCTGTCCTCAAGCCTTTTGAAATCTGCTCTTCTTCAGTCCAGAGCACAGGTCTGCTTTTGCCCATGTTCCTTCCTCTGAGGTCTCAGCTGAGACCTGTCTCTGCTCAGAATGGAGTCTAGGATGGAAGTCTCCTTATGGCGGGGGCTGCAGGAGGCTTAGCACCAGACAGTTGCAGAACCGACTTCCGGCTCCACCACCTACCAGCTGTGTGACTTTAGGCAAAGAAATGGAGCCTCAGTGCCCTCATCCGGCAGCTGGGGACAGCTTCCTCCTGTCAGGGTGGGTGAGGATTAGGGGAAGTAAGTGCGTGTTAGCTGGGTCCAACGTGATCAGCACCACCTCTCACTAGCCTTCTCACTGGGCTCTCTGCTTCCTGTACCTCTCTCATCCAGTGCAACCTCCACACTGTGACCAGCTTGATCTCTCTAAATGAGGAATCTAACCCTGTCATTTCCCATGCCTAAGAACTACCAACAGCTTCCTCCCGCCTAAAGACTAAAGTCTCTGTCATCAGCACAGTGTCAAGACACTTTATCAAGGCCCAGTCTCTTCTGCTCTCATTCCTATCGTCCAACCCCAGTTCAGTTGCCAGGTACCCCAGCTGTTGTTACTAAACTCAGCCACGCCAGCTTCTCATGTGGGACCCCCAGATGTCCACCGTCACTCTTATGAGTTTTGAGCCCCTGTCCCAAAGCAAATACTATTGTGTACTTTATTTTTTTTATTTTTTTGCTGTACGCGGGCCTCTCACTGTTGTGGCCTCTCCCGTTGCGGAGCACAGGCTCCGGACGTGCAGGCTCAGCAGCCATGGCTCACAGGCCCAGCCGCTCCACGGCATGTGGGATCTTCCCGGGCCGGGACACGAACCCGTGTCCCCTGCATCGGCAGGCAGACTCTCAACCACTGTGCCACCAGGGAAGCCCCCTATTGTGTACTTTAAACAAGACTGTCTCCCTTTACCCACCTGTCTGCCCTACCCACCCACCCCCAACTTTATAACCTAGGTGTCGTACCGTTGTATGGAGTAGGCCTTTGAAGTCAAGTGCAAATATTGCCTGGATTGTTAGGTTTGCTTCGCGTTGAGCAATATAGTTTGTAAAGGAATTTTGGGTCACTTATGCCTTAGTGGCTTAGTCCATGAATGTCTGGCCACTCTCTCTAACAACAATGACCACTTTCAGCCCCACAGAGGAGAAGTTCCTCTGGTCTTCTCTCTGAGCAGACTCAGAGCATTCACCACAATGTCAAATATACCTGCTGGAACACCAGGCAAATCCTCAACCCCCACCACACCCCAGGACCCAGCTCTCCTGGTGGGCCCACAGTCCCCTGCTCTGACATCATCCACTTCTTAATGTACCACACCTTACCTGGAGCCATGGGAACTGAAGCGCTATTGTCTTTATTTTGTTTCAATTATGAAATCTACCACATGGGCAAAAGAATGTTTAAAAAAATACGTATGTTCAGTATCTCCCAGGAATCCATCACGGGAGTAAGGAAACAACACTACCAACAACTTTGAAGTTACTCATGTGCCTCTCCCTAGTCCACACCCTTCTAGCTAGACTTTGGTTAGTCATTTCCTCTTTTTTCTTATAGTCTTACCAACCGTGTGTATGTTCCTAAACAAGATATTATTTAGTCTAGTCTGTTTTGAAACTTAAATAAATAGAAACATACTGTGTGGTACCTTCTGTGGCCCACTTCTTATGCTCCACAGAGCTGTAACCCACTCACCTTCACTGCTGTGCAGTATTCCATCACATGACTATACCACAATTTATACATTCTGCTATTAATAGGCATTTGGGTTGCTTCCAGCTTTTGGCTAATGCGGACAATATTGCTACACTCTTGAGCATGACTGTTGGTAAGTATGTGTAGAATTTGTCCAAGAGTGGACTTGATAGGATGTGGGGCATATGCAAATTCAGTTTTACTAGGTGCAGTCAAATATTTTTCCAAAGTGGTCGTACAGGTTTTCCCTCCCGTTGCAAAGTTCACACTGCATTCCATCCCCACCTTTACTACACTATACTTTATACCAATCCAAGAGGTGCAAAATGGTATCTCATTATGGTTTAAACTTGCATTTCCATAATTACTCATTATTTTAGCATCTTTTCCTGTGTCATAAGCTATTTGTGTTCTTTTGTGAATAGAATGAGTGTACCTTGCCCATTTTTCTGTTGGTTTGTTTGTCTCTTTCTTATTGAAATGTAGGAGTTCTTTACATATTCTGAACACAAATCCTTTGATAGTTACAAGTTTGGCTATATTTTCTCCTAGTTTGAGGTTTGGCTTTTCATTCTTTTTAGGTGTTGTTTAATGTAATCTTATACCCTTTATTGTTTGTGCTTCCTGTGTCTTGTTTAAGAAATCTTTCTTTAGTCTGAGGTCAGAAAGATATTTTCCTAGATTGTCATTTAAAATTTTTATAGTTTTTTTCTTTACGTCTTTAATCCTTCTGAAACTGACATTTGAGTATGCTGTGAGGTAGGACCCAAAATAATTTTGTTTCCATTTGGATAACCAGTTGTCCCAGAACCATTTATTGCATAATCCATCATTTTCATTTTGATACTAAAAAATCAGGTTTCTATCTATGCGTGGGTATCTTTCTCTGCCTTGATCTATTTTTTTACCCCTGCCACAGTAACTCACAGACTTAATTACTAAAGCTTTACAATACTTCTTGGTATATGGGAGGGTAAATCCTATTATGCTTTCTGTTTCAGGAATGTCTTGGCTATTCTTAGCTCTTACTTTTCCATGTACATGTTAGAATCCTTTCGCCAAGTTCCATTAAAAATTCTGTTTAGGTTTTGACAAGAACTGCATTGAATATATAGGTCAATTTGGGGAAAACTGACATTTTTATGATATTGAGTCTCCCATTCTAAAAACATGGTATATCTTTTTATGTAGTTATTTCTTCTAAAACATATCTTAATAAAATTTTGTAATTTTCTTCTTAAAGATGTCATACATCTCTTATGATACTTATTCCTAGATTTTAAATTTTTGATAAATTTTATGCTTTTTAAAAATTAAATTTTTTTCACTAATTATTGCTAGTGTATAATAATGTCATTGATGTTTGGATGTCAGTGTTGTACCCAGAAACTTTCCCAACCCTTTTATTAGTTTCAGTGATTATTCTGCAGAAAGTTCTATGTAGACAATCATATCATCTCCATTAATGTTTTGTTTCTTACATTCCAAACCTTATGACTTTTTTTCTTGTCGACTGTCCAGTACAGTGGTGAATAAAAACAGTGGCAGTGGGCATCTTTATCTTGTTTCTGGCCAGAAAGGAGATGTTTGCAACATTCACCCTTAAGTATGCTATTTATTGTAGGGTTCTCATAGATGCTTTTTATAAGACAAAGGGAGTTTCCTTCTATTCCTAGTTTGCTGAGAGTTTTCAAGAGAAGGTCTGTGATGCAAAATAAATGAGTCACCAGCATGAAATGTACAGCATCAATAACTATGTAGTATCTTTGTATGGTGAAATATCATAACTAGACTTACCATGGTGATCATTTTGAAATGTATGGAAATATCAAATCACTATGTCATATAACAGGAACTAACTTAGTGTTGTAAGTCAATTATCTTCAAAAACACACAAACAAACTCATAGAAAAAGGGATCCGATTTGTAGTTATCAGAGGCAGGGATGGGGGAAGAGGGAATTGGATGAAGACAGTCAAAAGGTATAATCTTCCACTTATAAGATAAATAAGTACTGGGGATGTAATGAACAACATAATACATATAATTAACACTGCTGAATGTTATATATGAAAGTTAAGAGACTAAATTCTGAGTTCTTATCACAAGGAAAATATTTTTTTCTATTTCTTTAATTTTATATCTATATGAGATGATGGATATTCACTAAACTTACTATGATAATCATTTCATGATGTAAGTCAAATCATTATGCTGTACACCTTAAACTTATACGGTGCTGTATATCAATTATATCTCGTAAAACTGGAAGAAAAAAAGCTAAGGAATAAAGCTGAAACATTGTAAAGCTCTAGAAAATAAAAGAAGGGCTGTGAATTTTGTCAAATGGTTTCTATTTATAGTAACTTTTTGTTTTTATTCTGTTAACAAAGTAAATTACAGTCATCAATTTCCCCCTGTGAAATTCATCTTGCATTCCTAGGGTAAATCCAACTGAGTCATGATAGATTACTGCTTTTGTACATTGCTGGATCTGGTTAATATTGTGTCTCATGTTTTTGTACTTATATATTAATGAGTAAGATGGGCCTGCATGTTTTCTTTCTTACATTCTAGGATGTCCTTGCCATCCCTTGCTGCCTTCCAGGCTTATAATAAACTGATTTGAGGTACTGAGGTTTTGCTAACCTCATAAAATGAGTTGGGGAGGTTCCCTCTTTCTACTCTCTGAAAGAGTTGTATGGAAGGACTTATCTGTTTGTCTTTTTTTTTTTTCAATTAATTAATTTATTTTTGGCTGTGTTGGGTCTTCGTTGCTGCACACAGGCTTTTCTCTAGTTGCGGCGAGTGGGGGCTACTCTTCACTGCGGTGCACAAGTTTCTCATTGCGGTGACTTCTCTTTGCGAAGCACGGGCTCTAGGCGCATGGGCTTC